AAAAAATTCCTAATACTTATATTGGCTTTTTTCTTCACTAACGAGATCAAAATAGAGCATAAATTATCCCATTAATTTGCATAAATTATGCAAGCAGCAAAATCCATGGTTTTATGAAAAATGTATTATGCTAGACATAAAATTACAACTATGCTGGTGGCAATTCTACATAGCCATCAATATTTCTAGAAAAGATGCATCCATACAACTTTATTTCATTTAAAAAATGTATCAGGACATTGGACTACAGCTTAGATCCACTTACATTGGAATAAGTTCATTTCTTTTAAACAAATATACACAGTACTGCATTATTACTTTCATAACATTAGAGGCTACAAGTGATGCAATGTTCTCAATCTGTCACATGAGCATCTCCATTGGAAACAGTATATGGGAATCCACACAACGTTTTTGAAATTGTATCTGTTAAGTTACAATAGTTCTTTAAGTTTCTTTTTCTGACACTTCCAATAAGTGGTATATCTTCTAGGTATTTATCTTACATATTTATTGATTTATATGTTAGAGTTATATCTCACCTTCCTTCAAGAGAGCAAGGTAGCATACACAGCGCTCCCTACTTTAATTTTTCACAAACTACGTGAGGTATTTTGGCCTGAGGAGTGTGACTGGACCAAAGTCTTTCAGTGAGTGTATATGGTTGAGGGTGAACTTGAATTTGGCTCTCCCCAGCTTACTCCAACATTTGAACTACTGACTTGTGTTTGTACTAATGTTTCAAAACAATATCGAATATTACCTTCAAGTGTGCCCTCTTCCTTTCAAATCATTTGTGGTAAGTTCTTTCATGAGGTTTTCTACACAGAATTTTTTCCTCCCATACTATTCAATACCAATTTCAGACTAAATACACATAAAATGCCCTTTAAATATGGTTTCATAGACTTTTCCATAGCATCTGACTATGACATATTTTTGGGGAGAAACATCACAACTTACCTTAGTTTTTTTTTTTTTAAAGAACTCTGTTCAGCAAGTTCACCTTGTTCTGACTGACAATGGGACTCCATATCATTTCTACATTTGTTTTCATTTGTAGACCCTGAACTGTTCAAGAAACCTGGAAGTAATCTCCATGTAAAAGACTAGAGTATACAGTGCTGTTTTTAGAGATTAAAACAATATGAATGTTATGCAGCTGTCATTAGGAAAAAGAAACTTATAAGTATGTGTGGGTGGATTTTGAAATACCTGTTAAATCAATAGGCATTATAGTTCAGGTAAAGTGTACATTATGTCCATCTGCAACAATACTTTGCTGATCCAGGAAATTATTATCTGCTTCTTAGAAGCAGAGCATCAAAGTAATTTATTAAATTTAGAAACATGGCTGCAGTATATAGAGCAGTTTCAGTAGGAAATTTATTTATTTATTTATTTATGAGACTTATATACCGCTTTAAGTGCAAGCACTCTCTAAGCGGTGTACACCAGTAAGCAATGTATATATATATTTACATTGCCCCCAACAATCTGGGTCCTCATTTTACCTACCCCGGAAGGATGGAAGGCTGTAAGTTTCACTATATCAAATTTAACTCGATCCAAAGATTAGGTAATCTGAATTAAATGATTCAAGTGCTTATAGCAATTTCATTGATTAAGGTTAAGTGGAATAATAAAAATTTGAAGGCTCTAATTTACAAAATAACAAATTGGTTTCTGAAAAAATAAACCTCATATATCTTCAAACTGAAGGAAATCAGACTTGCACTTCTGAAAATATACTATGAACATTTCATAAAAACTGGGTAAGGAAAATACCATCCAATCAACATTAGTAAATTGCTCTTCGTGGAGGCAATTTTAAACTACAATCAAATTCATACTGAGTCAAGGAAGATTTGTAGGTTTCCTTTCCTTGCCCCCATCCCCCACACCCGAAACGTCCTAAGTGTTGGTGCAGGCACTGAAGGGCTGCAAATATGTTTGCTAAATTAAGGTCGCAAAATACATGTGCTGATTTGAAAATAAATGCTTGGGGGTGCTGAAACCAGCTTCCATTCTCCCTCCTTTTCAAATCCACTGCAAAACTTACACAGTTCCTTAAATAATAAACACGGAACTGAAATTGAGATTAGGTAATACATTAGTGATAATTAGCAGCAAGCCCTTATATTAGCACCTCATCACCTAGTTCCTTGGTTTCATATATTTCAGATACCCTGAATCCACTATTTCACTAAATTTGGTATTTAATAACTTAGGTCCTAGGTGGATCAAGAAAACCCTGGCATCATTCCTAATTCCAAACTGACAGTTTAACAATTTTAAATGTAGTTGATTAGCTTATCCTCAAGTTGCAGCTGTCAGAAGAAAATAAGTTTAAGCCTTACATCTGCAAAAGTATTTATACTTTCTAACACAAGCCTTTTGATATGAAATTAAACTTTATCTTCAACTACACATTAAATATCCCCATTCCCCTACAACTATGCAAGTAACAAAATAGGCCAGCACCAAAGATTAATCTGACAATAGATTTTCTTTTCCTTTAAGTTTTTATAAACCCAAGCAATATATGTGGATTGTAAGTAGTTCTCAACTTGCAACCATTTCTTTAGCAACCATTCAAAGTTACAATGGCACTGAAAAAAGTCCTTACACTTACAACTGTAGCAGCATCCCCAGTCATATGATCAGAATTTGGGTGCTTGGCAACCGAAATGTATTTACAATAGTTGCGGCATCCTGGGGTCATGTGATAACCATCTGCAACATTACCAACTGGCTTCTGATATGCAAAGTCAATTGGGGAAGCCAAATTAACTTAATGGCCTTTTGGTTCACTTAACTGCAATGATTTACTTAACCATAGTAAAAAAAAAAAATCAAAAAAACCAGATGCAACTCACTTATCAACCACCTTATTTAATAAAAATAGAAATTTTGGCCCCAGCTAAACTTGCAAGTTGAGGACTACCTATATTAGTTTTGTGCTCATAAATGTTAACAAATGTAATCAAATGCACAAATACTTAAAACTTTCTCCACACTGGTGTAATTCATAATTTATAAATCTCTAATTCTTTTACCATGGATTCCTCCCTTAGCTACATCTTCCCATTTGGGGTACTCTAAGCTAACACTGATGAACAAATAAGAATAAAAAGCCCAGATCAAAAAGGATAAGCCAGGATCAGAAAGCACTCTCCATAATTCATGATTTTGTAACGTATTAATTTATGTATACTAATTTTACATGCACACATGTAGATAGAGTGAATCTTCTTATTATACAAATTACTGTCATTTTCGCTCCTTACTTTAATTTACTTGACTTTAAAGTTAATTTTATAGTTGTATATAAAAGAAATCTAATTTAGGGAAGCACAATCTTGGTGTCAAAACTGATACATCATAGGTAGCAGGAAAAATAGGATTAAGAAAAAGGACTAGCAACTGTATTGGACCATGGCTTTGTAAACCACAGGTATGACATGGTGAACGAATGAATGAACATGAACAATTGACTGGATGTAAAGGTTCTGGTATTAGCCATTTGAATGTTCTATAACAATGGGATGAAAACACTGGATGCAATCCACTGGAAGCCAAAGATTATATGTCAAAGGAATATCTGATGTGCTGATCAGCTGTTCTGTGCCCAATGAAGTGGTAGCAGCATTGGCGCTGGAAGCAGCCCTGAAGTTTTTGTTGTGCAGACCTGCTAGAAACTTATTAAGAACTTATTCAGAACATATTTTGTTTTGAATTAATGGACAATCTGAACTTTAATAACTATGTATTGTGGATGCCAACTGTTAAAAAAAAAAAATCGGAAGTAATTCCAGTATAGGTTTCCTGAAACAATTGTGAAAGTAATAATTCGGTGATCTGAAAACAAATCTTGACACAACTAATAGGTATTGTGTGATAAATAAGGCCTCATAGCACACAGAAGTAAAAGAGTAAAAATATAAGATATCTGTTGTCTGAGAGTTGTCACCGCTAAATAATAAATGCAGCCAGTGAATCACAAAGCTAAATTCCGTATCTTCTCACAATGAGATTTAAATTGAGGAAAAAACACTAGATATATTTTCTAAAATGTCAATTAAGCTCCCAAAAGACAGAGACAAAGAGACAGGAGGTCTGCCTATCTATAGTTATATTTAATGTATCACAAATAGATTAAAATTCTTCAAGTTAAGAGACTAAAAAGACAGCATTCAAGGTCTGGAAGTGTGTGTATTTGAAAAATATAAAGAGGAACAGTTTTTCTCTACTGTCATCTTTTGTATTTGAAAATGTACTGATGAAGTTCAATTATCAGACGGGAAAACTCTGATAAATTAACATTCAAATTCCAAATCTGCTATTTTAGTTGAAATCAAAATATTTGAAGTGTTCATTTTGCTAAAATGTATACAAGTAGTCCTCGACTTACAACAGTTCATTTATTGACCGTTCAAAGTTACAACAGCACTGGAAAAAGTGACTTATGACAGTTTTTCATAGTTATGACCTTTGTAGCATCCCCACGTTCATGTGATCAAAATTCATATGCTTGGCAACTGGTTCATATTTATGACCATTGCTGTGTCCCAGGCTCATATCCCCTTTTGCTACCTTCTGACAAGCCAAGTCAATGGGGAAGCCAGATTCACTTAACAATCAGGTTACTAACTTATCAATTGCAATGATTTACTTAACTGAGGGGGAAAAAGGTCATGAGGCAAAACTCACTTAACAAATGTCTCATTTAACAACAGAAAATTTGGGTTCAATTGTGGTTGTAAGTCGAGGACTACCTGTATTATACCATTCTCTATCAAAATCAATTTATCAATTCAAGGTTTTCAGGGTGAATGTTGTTCTTCATTCTTCATAATCAGAATTCAAAAATTAAATGCGTAACATTCCAGCGGCAAACTATGCAACCCAGATTATATTTTGCTTAGTCGGAGTTATCCGTCTGGAATGAATACTAAAAAAGAAACGTGTCACTGCCAACACCTGAAAGCTGAACTTACCAAGAAGTGGGACTGGTTGGGATACAGGAGCTGATATACTAGCAGAAGTTACAGGTGGAGGAGCATTTGGATATCCTTTGGAGCCTTCTGCATTTTCACCATTTCCTCTAGCTCCAGAAACTACTGTAGGAATAGGGTTTCCTACAGAAGAGTCTTTTGTAGTGTCTTCATTTATACTGGCCACAGTAGCTAAAAATGACATTAACATCATTTTAAATAGCATAAACTTCTATTTGAATTATCTTTAACACCAAATAAGTCTCACTTACAATTTGGGATAGTTACTCCTCCAGAAGGAGGGACAGAAACTGGAGGAACTGAAACCGAAGGATTAATGGGAGGTGGTGGTCCAGGAGGAAGAAAACCTATGAAGAAAGAAATAATGAAGAATCACTTTTAGAACAACCATCCATTAAATTGATCTATAAACAAAAAGCCATACTTTCAAGAATACCTAGCACGTAATTCATATGCCTACGAACTTTCTGGGAACAATTAATATACCTGGCGGTAAATGCATTGGATTGAAGCCTGGTCGCATAAATGGTGGTGGTGGTGGAGGGGGAACTCCAGGACCAAATCCAGGAGGTGGAATTCCTAATGGAGGAGTAAATGTAGGAGGCTGAAGAGTACCAACCATTGGAGGACCTGGTTGATGTGGTGGCACCTGCAATTGGATAAAATTGTTTCCATTTTACTGCATAGTTTCTTATCCTTACGGTGAAAATAAAATGATGTGAGAAACAGAACTTTTCTAAAGTTCATTTTTATTAGAAGTTTAATAATTCTGCTATTAACTAAGAAATACTTAATAGTCAGAATTTTAAATTCTGAATCACAAGTAAAATAAACCACTGAGAAATGTTATTTTGAAAATTAAGACACAGTTCCTATAGAAACAGTAGTGACAGAAGCAAATATTCTGAGGTTCCTTATTTATCAATGCTTCTTCCTTTGGCATAACATCTATTATTTCTTTAATTAACAGTGTACATTTCAGTTTATAAAATGAAATGAAATAAAATTATAGCTCATACATTGTCACATTTGTAAGTGCTGTTTGAAATGTTTTTCAAAAATGTGTTTTTCAGATGGAGCAGTGCAATTAGTGTACCTACAAAGTCCAGCACAAAAAGCTACTAAGAACGTTTAGTTTATAACCCTCTCTCTCAGTGAAATGCTACAAGACTTATTTGAACTGATGTCAGAAATTCATTTTGCACTTTTCTTCTGTATCAAACGTTTCCCTATTAAACTCAAGGCCTGCGGGCCAGATCTGGCCTGCGATGTATTTAGATCAGGCCCGCGGGCACACCCTGGAGACAACGAGGGGCCAGCCCACATCGCTTCAGCCCACACCAGCTCAGCCAGGCACACAGGAAGCGGCAAGCATGCAGGGGCTGGTGGTGTCCAGCAGCAGCTGCAGTTCATTGGCCTTTCATTGGCTGGTGAGAGCCAACTGGATGTGAGCCCAGGGCATCCAATAAGCCACACTTGGCCCTGCACCACCTGCACCGCACTTCGGGGGCCCACAGCTAGGCCACCCCCGCCCCGCTACCTGCCTCACCTCACCCCCACAAGTGGCAGCACTGGCAGCAGCAGCAGCCTTGTCCAGCAGGAGCCCTGTTGCCCCTCCGCTCTCCTCCAGCCTGGGAAGTTTGCTAGCCAAGAGGAGAAACTGCCATTGCAGTTTGCGAGGGCAAAGCAGCCACCTGGGAGTGGTACCTGTCTGCGGTTACCTCCTCAAGGCTGCTGCTGCTGTGCTCGCTGTCCTTGGCCATGGTGGGTGCAGGAGGTTAGCAGGGGATTGAGGCTCGTGGGCGCAACTCTGAGGTGGCTGTTTCGCCGGGCGGTCTGCAACAGCAGCTTCCCCTCCTGGCTCTCCTAGAGGAGAGCAGAGGGGTGGCAAGGTTCCTGCTGGACAGGGCTCCCGCTGCTGCCAGTGCCGCCACAGCAGGGGCCGGGGTGGCCTGACTGCGGGGCCTGAGGTACTCGGGTGCGGTGCAGGTGGGGCGGGGTAAAGCATGGCTTATTGGACACTCTGGGCTGATATCCAACTTTGGCGTGCTGCGTGCAACACCATTCCAAGCTTGGAGACTTTTATCTAGATCTGAGCTAGCAAGCTGCCAATTATGGCTGGGCTTGGGGAGAAGGAGCTCTCTCCTTGCATAAAAGTCCCCAAATTTGGAACGTGGGTGTGTTTGTGTGTGTGCACATGTCACTTGGCTGTCGGCAGTTTGGGGAGGCAAAGAGCTTGTGGGGCACTGAGTAAACACCATGTCGAATTAGCCCATGCGACTTGTTTTGTGTCAACCCAGCCATCCCTAATCAGCGGAGCTGGGCCAGCTGCACCTACCCAGCCACGGTCAGCTGGCCCTTTGAGGGCAACCATAATGCTAATGTGGCCCTCAATGAAATTGAGTTTGATATCTGTACTCTAGAGGTAATCATTTTGGAAAATCTAGCACACTTCTAAGGCTTTAATTCTGATGAAATCTACTCTTAGTTTGACCACAATTTCTTCACAAAATATCCTCAGAAATTATACTTTGTAAATTAATACTGTATATTTTTCCATTCAACAGAAAATTACTTATTATCTTCTCCACAATTTAATGGCAAAAAATCCTCAGTTTATGTATGCCTTTTTAAAAATGCTGTGTAATAAAAGTAATTTCAATTGAAGGATACATTTAATATCAATTTTCAGGTTCTCATTCACAATTAAATCCAACTTAACAAATCAGTGGGTGGACCTCAAACATCTATTTTGTTTTCTATTAATTTTACTTTCATGCTGGTTTTGTACACAACGAAGTTATAGTGACCTAATTATTACAGGATTTTTGCCTGTCCTTTAAGCTGAAAATATTAGCTCTTAGGAGAATTTCAAACACAATTTTCAGTAATCAAACCCATATTACATATAGATCAAAACAAAGTACAGAATTGGACTTATTTAGGAATAATAAAATTTATATGAAATTATACAGGTATCCAACTGAAGCATGAAGAGAAATAAAAACAAAGGGAAGTGTTGAACTTGCCTGTGGGGGTGGTATTGTTATTGGTGAAGGTATAGGTACAGGCATTTGGATTGGCAAAGCTTTAGCTACAGGTGATGTTTGTTCATTATGTGCAGAATCAGCACTTCCAGCCCCTCCATTCTGGGCTAACTGGTTTTCTGATTTTTTTGGAATTCCTTTCCATTCTATAAAAGAATATTAAAAAGAATGTAAAAATATTTGATCTCAATTTATTCATTCATTTAAACTTATCTTTAGATTGCTTTAAATATGTTTAATTCCTTGTGCATTGTACAGAATTCATTCTTGTCTTAATTTTTCCTTATACAAATGGATTAAGGCAAGTTTGTAAATACTGTATCTTCAACTCAATCCCCTTGTACTGCTTTCCAATCACTATATACTCAGAATTATGGTCTAGGCAAGAAATATTTTTATACTAATCCAGCATAGAAAATTTCCCACACATTTTTTCATGAAAGGGATTCTTTATAAAACTAGATTAATAATATCCAGAAGTATAGACAGAAGAAATGAATACAGATTTCACTTTCATTAGTGGAAAAAGAAGTACCTATATCCCCAAATCTATTTAAGACAATTTCACAATATCCAAGTTTTTTCTGTGCAACAGATGAAGGATGAAATAAGCAGAAACTGAAAACATTTTCTTTCTTAAATATGTAAGTATATGCTGTCAAGGTAGCTTCATTTTTTTAAATATATGAACTAGAGCTCTGAATTTTTGCAGATATTATTTAAAGTGGTGCTGCATGAAGTATGAACATAGCACTAGTCGGAACTCATTTAAGCAACTGTAACAATAAAGCTATAAATTCCTGGAAGGACATGCAGCTACTTTAATGAGTTGCAAGCATGTATTCACATTCCTGGATCATCCAAATGTCTTCCAAATTGAATCCAAACTTTAGACAGCCGTAAGGATTTCATCAGAGCACTTCAATAAGGTGTACTGTACCATTTTATTCAGGCACTTTGATTTTCTTTTCTATTTGTTTCCTGCTAACGCAACAGTATGTATATATGTCAGCAGTTTTTCAAAGGCACATTAGCATGTCAATTTGGCACAAAAATTACATTTCTACATCACCACTATGAAATAAAATTATACATAAATATTGGAGAATTTAGCATAAAAAGACCCACATATAAAATATCCTTGGTATATTCAATTTAGTTTATAATCATATGGCTCTCTTAAATGAATGTCATCTATTTTTCTAGATATATTGTAAAGTTTAGCTTTATTTATTCTATTTAAATCCTTATTATTGTCTGAATTTGTCAAGAAGTCAGAATAGACACAGTCCTAAAACATATATAAAATGTCATGATAATTATTTTATCATGTCTAGGGTATGCCAAACTTGCATAATTCATAATACAGCACTTGAAAAATAAGATGAATACTCTGAAATGTACCTATGTAATTTGGGATTGCTGTGTAATTTGGGATACTTCTTGATCATCAAATCTCTTAAAATATTCAATTATAGTGAATTTATTTACAAAACTATGTCTGCTGTATACCTGATACAACTATTTCTAAAGGGGCCAAATCCATGCCTTGGATACATCAAAGATTGTACATGATTTGGCTACACAAAAAGAAATTTCAGCTGATGCAAAATATAGCCAATTGGGTATAATACTGGAACTACCTTTCACTTACAACTTTGTTGGCTGCTAACTATTTTAGCAGGCACAATTTTAGAACGTAGTCCTGACTTCCTGAGAACCTGTTCCAGCTATTTGAGATCTTAAAAGGAAATTCTTTTAAAATATTCCTGCTTTCAACCCCTTTAGTTGGCCTAATGGACTACTAATGTTGCTTTCAAGGTAAGTAACAAGCTCTCTTGGGAGCAAACTCTCTTTAGTTTTAAAAAAAGCATCAAAGGTCCACATCTTAAACTAAGCCTTTTGCATTTTTTACAGAATGGTGTTATCATTTGACTGTATAACTTTCATATTAATTAATGTTTAAACTTTATAATTGAGTCCAGAGTCATCCTGTGAGTGAGATGGGCAGTTTTGAAATTTGGTATTTCAATATAAATAAATATATTAAGATTTTACAAATGATATTTCAGCTTCATAGCATTTAAATTGAAAATGAGTTTTCAAAACTCATTATGACCGAGCCTCTATCATATTATAATACTGGGATGTTTTGACAGGGTCTGTATTTATTTTCATCAGCTTAGACAACTACCGGTATAACCAAGAGAAACAGTATTGTTATGTATCCCAATCTCATAGAATCAAAACAGTTGAAAGGGTCATTTAAATTGTCAAGTCTAATTCTCTGCTTCATATAAGACTCCAGCATCCCTGGCACATGGTTAACTTTCTATTTGAATACACTTAATGAAAAGAATCTCTGCTCTCCCCTTAGTAATTCATTCAACTTCCACACTGCCCTAATAGAAAGATTTTTTTCTTAACATTCAGTCAGACACTTCTTGTAATTTGAATCCACCAATTACTGGCATAACATGAATAGGTTCTTACTTCTTCTCTGAAGTACTTGAAAAGGGCTACCTTATCCCTCATCAGTTTTCTCAAGATTGCACTTTTCCAATCTTTCCATGTCTTTTCATAAGACTTAACGTCTAATCCCCAATTATCCTTATTGTGTCTTTTTGAACCTATTCTAATATATCCAAATTCTTAAAGTGTAAGCTTAAGACTGGGTACAATAGCTAACTGTATTTTCTTCTCTTGAAGGATTTCAGATATTTAGAATCACATAACTACTTTCCAGCCTCATATGCATGCTAAGCAGTTTTATCTCAAAATTTCATTTTTTCCTTAAAAGTTACTTTTTGGATGTAATATGTAATTCAATCCCTGAAAAGCTGAAACTGTGTTTTTAATTTTATGTATAAAAGATTTTAATTTAAAACTTCTATTTAAACATACATTTATTTTCTTACCAGGACTAAGTGTATCATTATCCAGCATTCCTCCTTCACAAAAGCTTTCCAAATCTTCAGGTTTAACTTTACCCCATGGTACGTAGGTAACACCCAATTCTACATCCCAATACTGCTTATAGTCTGGCTTAATTCCTTTATTCAAAGCCCAAGCGATCTGAAAGAAAAAGAAAACATAACTTGTCAGACAAGAAGTTTTACTATTAAGGTAATAAATTATATTCATTCAGTTCAATATAATCATAATATCAGGTAGATAAAGAACTGGTTCAATCACAATTGAAGCTATGCAGAAGCCACATATATTTATTTCATATCCCCTACTGATTATAGTGGTTCAGCTGACTCAACTGCGGGTTATTTTCCTTAAAAATTTTTTTTAGTGATTTATAGTAATATGACATACAAAGTTGGGCTCTTATTCTCAAACTAAAGAGGGAAGTGAAATAGGAATAACGGCCACGTTTTGTTTTAAAATTATCAAATGCTCATTAAATTGTTTGAAGTGTGTTATACACCAGGGGTCCTCAACCCTCAGTCCGTGGACCAGTATCGGGCTGTGGCACGCCAGCAATTGGGCCGCACAAAGCCCCATCCATGAGATGCAGGCAGCACATAAAACCACGCCCCCTCCAGTCCATGGAAAAACCTCTCTCCACGGAACCAGTCCCCACTCTGATCTAGGATATAGAATTTCAGGCTTTGAGCTGAAGATGTCCTTTATCTAGCTATTTTCATTGCCAGGAAACACTAATGCAGAAGATATAATTGGCTCAGTACAGAAGGTGTAACTGATTAACTATAAACAGTTGAATTAGCCTTACAACTGACATTAAACTACAGGTAACTAGAGTATATTTTCCTACTTTTCAATCCTACAGCAATATAAATATGAAGAAACACAAGTGAACCCCATTAAGTGAATTTATTTTAGTACTTATTGGTGCTATCCAGTTTCTATGTTATAAACTTATAGGAACTGAATTACTGCTGTTCTTATAGCAAAATAAATAAACAAAACAATTTTTTTTGGGGGGGGATAGGAAAAATATCAACATAATACCTTTATAGATTTCTGATTCACTTTAAAATTACCACGACTCAGTTTCTGCAGAGCACGGTTTGCATCTTGTCTCTGTACCATTACAATATAAGCACATCCTCTTGGGGGTATCATCTATTTTCAGCAAAGAAATATTACATTAATTTACAATAATAATAATATATATTATTTAAAATATATTGTGACTTTTAAGTGTACTTAATATTATTAATAATAATGAAGCCAGTTTGATTTGCTGTAGTGATTAAGGCATCAGACTAAAAATCAAATAACCCTGAATTCTAGTCCTTCCTTAGGCATGAAGCCAACTTGGTGAGCTTGGGCCAGTCACTTTCTGTAAGCCCTAGGAAAAAGGCAATGGCAAGCCACTTTGAAAATCTTGCCAAGAAAATTGTAGAAACTTATCCAGTTAGTTGCCAGGAATCTAGATTGATTCAAAGGCACCAAATAATAAATGACTAAATTAAACTATAACTAAAGGCAAAAGTCAAGGAAATTAAATTCTAGAATACCTTTATAGATTTCTGAATCTGATCTGAATAAACTGAAAGTTATTTTTCATATTTTTGCTTTTATTAATGTACTAGTAATAATCATATGTCCCAGAAAAATCTAGTTTCAAATGAAATGTTAACTTGCTTTCTATTGCTGTTATTTTTTTTAGACTGTCACTTACATTTATAGATTCAATTAGACCAAACTCTTCTAAGAGACCTCCAACATCCTGCTGTGTTGTTCGTTTGTCCAGTTGTCCTACCCAAAGAGTTGTACTGCAAACTAAGAGAAAAATATATTTGAATTGACTTAAATATTAAAATGACTATTACTTCATATATATATAAATCCTTACTAAATCTCGATCACAAAACTTTTATAGCAGTTTTATTAAGTTATGATTAAACAGATAAAAATATAAAGTAAAACAGTAAAAAAAAGTAGAAATAGAAACAGAAAGAAAAAAATAATACCAATGGGAAAAAATGAAATGACTTCGCTGTTCATTACAATAAGTATAAACAATTTTAGTAGCTTATCCTGCTTAACTTTTTCTCTTAAAATACAACAAATGATCTATTCTTCCCATGTCCATCTCTTATCTATAAAGAAATTCTTAAAAGCCTCATTGCCTGATCAGCAAAAAAGTCCATTAAGGTTACCAGAGATAAAACCTATCTAATTTAACCTTGATCAAACAAAGCAATTTTATATTCCTTCCCTTTACTTTTAACAATCTTCATCTTTAGTTCCTCCATGTCTTTTGATTTCTTTTCATTTTTTATTGACTCTTTTTACAAAATTCTTCAAAGCTTTAACATATAGCTTTTGTAAATCCAATACAGGAAAATTATTCCTGTATTCCTTTAGTATATCCATTTTAATTATTAAGACATCAGCTGGTTTCTTTGTATGCCTAGTGCAGCACTTTTTCCCATATCCTTGTGGCCCCTTATTTTTAAATTCACTTTCAGATCAGTCTCAGTCTTGTTCAGTAAACCTTGTTCCTCTACCACAGCGGTTCTCAATCTGTGGGTCGGGACCCCATTTGGGGTCAAACGACCATTTCACGGGGGTCGCCAAACAACGCAGTCCGCCATTTTCCCCCTTTTCCTTAGTTGTGCTACTCCCTTTTATTCTATTGGCTTTTGAAAGCCAATAGGAATTGTCCAGGCTGTCTCTGCCCTGCTGAGCCCACCAAAAGTCCCAGTCTGCAAACGGTGCTGCAAGTTGTCTGCAGCGAAGGAGGTGGGAGGCCGGCGGGCGCAGAGAGAGTTGCTGGTGCGCGTGGGGCCCGGCCGGTGGTCGGCCTGCACCATCTCTACTGCTTGCCCGCTACGCCTTGGCTGGCGTAGGGGGCGGCACCACGCATGCGCGGCGCTCCCGGGCAGGGAAAGTCCTTGACTTACGACCAGTTGGGTAGTCCTCGACTTACGACCAGTTGGGTAGTCCTCGACTTACGACCGGTTGGGGTCGCAGCATTAAAAAGGTTGAGAACCACTGCTCTACCATAACATCTGAAGCTTTCCAAAAATAACACAGTTTTAGCTGTGTGTAGGAAATGTTTGCAGAAGGCCCTAGGTCTGAAAAGAAGGCAGCAAAATGGACCCAAAAAGGAGGCAGCAAATACAGCAAGGCACTTCTGCTTTGAGCATGGTGGCTGGGTGCAAAAGGCAAAATGTTGGGACAGAAAGCAGCTGGGCAAGCGTCATAATTCTGGGATTGGTTGAAGGGCAACCAAAAGGGCAGAGATGGGGGGGATGGGCAGGCGGAGGGAACTGAAGTACCCGTGGCTGTAAATGCAAGCAGGCTGCCAGGTTCCCAAATTTTGCTCATATGATTTCAGGGCCTCCGCAACAGCAACATTGTAATTTCAAATGGACCTGAATGAATGCTTGTAAATTGAAGACTATCTTTATCCACATGAGCTCTGGACAGCTGTTCCTCATGAGAACAGTCTCCCATGGGTTTGAGCATCAGGAGATAAAGGAATATCCATTATGCTTGCAGCTCTGGCAGAACCTTTTAAAGGACATTAGGTTCACTAACCTCACTTTTAATTTCAGAAATTACTTATTTGCTACCTTAAGGCTATCAAATGTCTTCAGAACAACAAGTCTGAAAAGCAACCTGTTGAATTTACCTTCATTCTAAACAAAAGAAAAATTAACAATACATTCAAACATTTAATGAATTAGACATAAGGGGCCCAAAGCTAAATAAGGTTTTGATTCAAGAAAGTTATAAGCAAATTAATGGTTGAGATAAATATGAAATACTGAGACTTGTACTATAAGAGTTTGGGAATAATTATATAGCCGTTCATAGGAACAAAATTATTTTGTCTATCCTAAGTGATGACATAGAGTGGTTCAGATGATTTCAGAAATTGGATTCCAGGTAGAAAAGGAAAAGTGAAAAAGGTGAAAACTTGCCTTTTGTTTTTAGTTAGTACTGGGATTTATAAAATCCTGCCAAACATTTTACACTTGAAATACTTCAGGAAATTATTGAAAAACGGTGAGAAATTAGCAGGTGCAATGTTAGTAAAGTTGTCTGCTTCTAAAGATATGCTATATCCAAAACATATTAACTACTGAATAAGAGAGATGAAACAAATTTGCCTGATATAGAAATATTAGAACCAGAAATACTGGATAATTTTTTTAAAAGGTGTAAATCACAAGACAGTGAAAGCAGCTAAAGTGAAAAGGACCGCATACTGCCGCATAGTTCCCAGAGACTGGTGAGGTCCCACAGATTGGGCCTCCTTCAGGTCCTGTCGGCCAGACAATGTCGGCTGGCGGGCCCTCGGGGAAGGGCCTTTTCTGTGGTGGCTCCGACCTGGTGGAATCAACTTCCCCCCGAGATTCAAACTACTTCCACCTTGCTGGCCTTTAAGAAAGCCATTAAAACTCTCCTGTTCCGGCAGGCCTGGGGTTGATGTCCCCGGGGGGGGGGCGGGATACGATTGGGACATGCTGTATGAATGAATGCACTTATTTTATTGTTATATTTATTGTTTTAATTTTGTACACCGCCCTGAGTCCCTAGGGATTGGGCGGCATATAAATTTTATTAATAAATAAAATAAACAAAACACAAGTGACAAGCCAAAAGAATACAGGATTAGCACTTTCTATTGAATATACAAAAGTTAGATAAAGCTTTGAAAATTAACATAAAAATATAAACCAAGAGAATCGCCTCGATAGTAACTATGTGATTTACAAAAGAGGATGCTAAAGCCTTGAAGAAGCCTTTGGTATGGGAGGCAGAAAAGATGGTTAGGAGTAAAAAAAAAAAAAAAAAAGGAGAAATATAAATATAAAATTGATTTGTTTGACCAAAGGAAAGATACATTTTGTACAGTCCTAATATACCTTCTTCTTTATGGAAAGAAGATATATTTGTTTGTAACCTTATAGAGGGTGAAAAGCTACTAAATTTGTTTATACTCATGTGTTGAAGATTGGAAGTCACTTCTTCAAGTATCTTTTTTTCTGTTCTTAGATCTTTCTTTGTACTTATTTATTTTCTCTCTCTCTCCCTCCCTCCCTCCCTCCCTCTCTATTTCCTTCTCTCTTTCCCTCTCTCCTTTTCTGTTTTGTTTTTTAATCAAAATTCTTAATAAAATTATTTTAAAAAATACTCACCACTAACAGTTTCTGGTTTGATTGGAGGAAGGCCTTTCACTCTGCGCTCTCGCTCTCTCTCCCTCTCACGTCTTTCCTGGGACCTTGACCTAGGAGAATGACGTCGCTTGTCCCGGGATCGAGAACGAGAACGACGATGGCGTGATCTTCGAGTTCGAGAACCAGATCGTGATCTTCTTCTCTTAGGTGATCTAGTATAAAAAGAAATGCATATAGTAATCTAGAGGGTTCACTGGGTCCTATTTTTTTCTGTTTGTACAACTAATATATCTCAGTCATTCACTGTGAATTTGCTTTAAATATGCCAAAGAGAAATGACATTTCAAAAATGACCCATTCTATGTGTACAGATGAATAGGGGAATAAAAAAAAATCTCATTTCATCCGGTTCTTTTAAGGAAATTCATCGATGCAGAAAATATTGACAAATAACTCAAAATTATTGTTCAAGAATGCTGGTAATTTTTCATCAGACTTCAAGAGAGCTGAAATTATCAAATAATGAAGTGTATAAATTGGAAATTCTTTAACAGCTATCTTTGTTTTTTTGATCCTTTCCTCACTTTAGTTTTTTACTCTCTTCTTTAATAGGCATTTATTAAAGAATAAACCTTTCATTACATTTTTTCCTTCTTCTTCTGTATTGTTCATATAACAGAAAGAATATTAATAATCACCATGATTAGTTTATTAATTTGTGTACGGGGTAGCAGAGAAAATCTATAATGCTTGACCACTGCTGATAAGGGCTGATAAGGGATTTAGCAATTTTATTTTTTTATATTACTATTGGTAGTCCGCATTTAACGATTGTTAAAGCAAAAGTTGCAATATATCCACGGTCATATGATCGCAATCTGAGTATTTGGCAACCTGTTTGCAATTATAACTGGTTGTCAAGCACCCCACATTCATGTGATCACCATCTGCAATCTTCTCTGACCGCTTACCCAGATAGTCAAAGGGAAAGCTGACAAGGAAAGTTGCAAACTGCTGCTGCCTGGCCAGACAACTCCCTGACATCTCTGCGGGCTGGCTAAAAGAGCTTTCTGATGAAATGTTTTAGAAGCTGAAATCCAAGCAAGCACAAAGCTAAACTTTTCCTGTCTCTCTCTGTGCCTACACAGCTGCAAGATGCTCGCAGGCATGAGAGCATTTTACCTCCGTGCATTTGCTTAACGACATATGAGCTCAATTAATGACTGCAACCAGAAATACTAGGATCAGTGAATGAAGCTATCACATGCCACTGTATCATTCAACAACTGAGATTTGTCACAGTTGTGGTAATTAAACAAAGATACCTCTATCATTTTTCCCCTCCCTTTTGGTTGCAATCTGTGTATAGTATGGATGAATATAACATGCCATTTTGTTGCTCATGGTTTTCTATATTAATAACATCAATGGCAATGTCCTTTGTAATTAAGAATTAGGATCTCCTGCTAAATGTAGACAAATCTTAAGTTTAAAAACATAGGAACCAAAAAACCTATAGGCAAAATATCAATTCTTTCTAGGAGATCATAAACACATCAAAAATTAATGGTGAGATTGTCATGGACTCAAATGGCTTTTGGATCAACAGCCATTCTCCATCTTTCTTGAATTCAGTCTCAGCTTATTTTATTTCACTCAGATCCTTCAAATTTCACACTGCCCAACCTGCCTTGGGCAGAGATGAACTAATGATATTGTACCCCAAATCACTGATGATCTCTCCCAGAAGCTTTATGTAGATGTTAAGATATTCATCTTAAACTCTTATTATTTATTATGCCTGATCCAGTTATCATTGCTGCTTTTTGAGGCTCTAAGTGGCTAGAGTTTTGGAGAAATTACCTGTGGATCCTAAGCCAGTAACTCTTTTTAGCTGAAGAAACTTTATGAAATTGATCCTATTTATGTAACTTTTAAAGTGAGTAATTGGAATGTCCTGTCCTAATACACCTATGGAAGCTTAAAGTAATTTTCTATTACTTTAAAATGAAATTCATGATACAAAAAGTTTTATTTCCTGTGAGTTGACAGCTCAGAAAATGCTCATTACAATCTTGCTGTTGGAGATATATCTCAAAAGATGGAATACTAACTCTTATGGTATGGCTTTACTTAATCGTGGTCAGTAGTATGACTCTAGATCAATTATTGTATGTTAAGGATACCTAGGTTCTTCTTAGCTGTACTTTTTTTATAAACTGTCAAAATAACAGAAATTGTTTGGGGAAAGGATAGAATTCGGAAAGAGAAATCTATATCTAATTGACAATAATAGGTTTAGTCTTTTTTTAAAAAAAAGAAAAAAGATGACTTTCAAGCAATAAAATGAAATTTTTAGAGGTTATTTCTTGTAACAACCTCTATTCATTTTTATTGTTAGGCTCATACATTTTGTGGTTTTATATGCTTAATGCTGTCCTATGCATTTGCATTTTTAGTACTACTTTCCACAATTGTTTTTACAAATTATTTAAAAATTACTCTCCCTTCCATTTAAACCTGGGTTATAAATACTAAAAGCCCAGCCTTCTGCAGTATATCAACTATGTCCATTCACTTATTTAAATATTATTAATTACAAAGCATTCCTACCTTGATGCTGATCTAGATCTTGACTTTCTGTTCTCATGCCTTTTTCCTTCCTGAGTTGGATGCTGATCCACTTCCAGTTCCTTAAACAATCAGCAAGCATTTATGATCACTGGTACTCTTTTCTGATCAGTATCAACTTTAAAACTAGAGTTACTGTTTGAATTACAGAAGTTTTCATGTCTGTTCCTCTAATTATGTTAAATATACAAACACACACACACACATAACAAACCTAAAATGTAATAATGTTAGAGTTACAAAGCTACATATGATTTATATTAAAAATATTTTAGTAATACAATTAATACATGGGGAGTAAGTTCCATTGAGCTCCTTGGATAGGATTATGAACTTAATGGCAAATAAAAATTACTAGAAAGTTATCAACAAATATTTTCTCATAAATATTGTAATACAGGGGTCACCAATCTTTTTGGGTTGGAGGGCTGGTGGGAAAGGGAGGGGCAGACACCTTTACGCGCGCAGGCACACACACCCAAATGTAGATACGCGTGTGTACACATGAACAGGGCCATGAGCATGCGCACTCCGTAGATGGAGTTGCTAGCACCGACGCAAGGGTCGTGGCGAGGCTACCACCGGCACAAGAGTGACACCAAGGGTCGTGCCAAGGCTAACACTGGCATGAGGGGGGTTAAGCGTGCACAGACATGCGCACACACTGGCCAACCACTTATGTGGCCCAGTGGCCAAGAGGCCATGGCTCGGTAGTGGGCCGTGGCCCATATGTTGGGGACCTCTGCTCTAATAGCTGAATAAAATAAAAGCTTGACATTGATGGTCCTTATACAGTATAATTTGAATACATTTGTATAATTATACCTGAAATAATTGTAATTTCTAATTTACCTGATCTTTGTAACACATTTTTCAATTTATTTTATTTTACTTCACAAGTTTTACAAAAAATATACAAAAAATAAGCAGAAGAAAAATACACAAAAGACATCAATAAACAATAACAAGCTAAATAAAGAAAAAGAAAAAAATATAGTCTGAAACTGTTTTTTTTTTCCTTTGTAGTTATAAACATGTTGCCTGGCCAATTATGCAAGATGGAATTGTATATTCAATACACTGAAAATAACATTGGCACAAAGAGATTTCTGCTCTCACTCCTATCAACCAATGTTGTACAAGTGTGTAAGATACGTGTAGTCATTCTGATTTTTTCTTAGTACTTTATAACCAGAATAAAATTGCTTACTATTTCTCTTCCATCTTAGTTTACTGGTAAACCAGAATTCATTGAAGATCTATCAATGTATGATTGAAACACATACAAATTTAAAAGAATGGGCTTCCATTCTAGATCTTCAGAATTTGCAAGCAGTTTGATTGTCAGAGGGAAGGTCATCCTCTTTTTTACATTCTTCTGTAATTTCAAATCACCACATTGAATACTATTTAATTCCTCAACTTTAAAATCTAAAATATGTAACTTGCACCAAAAATCTCATTTGAAAAATCAATGCATGTAATTTAAAATTAGTAACTGAAATATACTATAAGCGAATTTGGTAAGCAGTACAGTAGCATTTTCTTGAAACAATATATAGCATTAAGCCTAAAATATTGGGTATGAATAGCTCTTTACCTGTTGATGTGCTTTCTGTAAATGTGATTCACTTTGTGCTGGAAAAGAAGACTGGAAAGGCTGCTGCACCTGAGGTGAAGACTGTATAACCTGTTGAGTTATAGGAGTAAACTGCGGTGTAGGCAGAAGTCCATAGCTAGGCATCTGTCCATTTGGAGGGAGGGGGATCTTGCACAAGAAGAATGCACAAGTAAGCAATAGAAGAATGACATGTAAGCATTATCTGAATAGCGTTTCACAGAAAGCAAATGCTCTCAATTTTGAAAAAATAAGAATTAATCTAATGGAAATGTTTCCATTACCTGGTGAAGCATTGCATCCTGTTGCATTCCCAGCATTCTCTGCTGAAACTGATCTATATTTGGAAGCTGAGGATAAACTGGTGGTTGTAAGCCTTCACCTGGAAATCCACTAAGGTATAAAAAAAAATTCAACAGGATTTCAATAATGCAATATTTTGTATAGCTGGTTCAAAACAACATCAATGTTCTCTTCCTATGAGAACAGTTTTCAATTGACTCCATATTCCCCGGTCCATTTTAACTATAATTTCCATTTTGCTTTTTTGCATCTGTCATTTTTTTGGTCAAAATTAAGATTTCAGTTAAAAGAGTATAAAGAGTATAAATATTCAACTGGAACTGAACAATTTTTCAACAAATTGATAATTACATACCAAAACATTATAGTATAAAGTATTAATCATAAATTCCAAAAAGTAATGCAAATCACCTATGAATTTTAGATTTCTATATTATCCCCTTGATGTTAAAATCTGTTTACGATTGTCAAAACAAAACAAAATAAAACATACAATGTTGGTTGAGAGAGTGAAGGAGAAGGTGTGGCCTCTTCTTTTTTTGTATCTTCTACTGCTTCTGGTTCATCATCATAGTCAAAGCGATCCAACAGCTTCTGAAACATATTACATTGAGCCAATTCTATGTTCTTCCATAAATAATAGAGCAGTAAACTAAACATGTTACTGATGATATAAGTTTTTGTAAGTATTTTCCAAATGTATGATTAAGGAAGCAGCCTCTATCCTTAAACTATACCTTGGTTGGCCCCATAAAACCCAGTTGTACTACAGTCTTTTTTCCTTGCGTCCTCAACCTTAGAAATGGTCCATTAATATTAGAAGAGCAAAGTTGAAATAAATAGTTTAGTTGAAATTGGAAATCCAATTAAGTATTACTACTTGTTTAAAATCTAACCTAGCCATCAAAGCCAGAACTAGCTTTAATTCTCTTTTCTACTTTTTCCAGACATTTCAACAATTTTAAGAACAGCAATGTTATCTAGGCCAAGGGTCAGATAAAGTACTAATCAGAGCTAAATAATGGCTTGTATCACCTCAAAGAGTCAGTATAAATTGCTTATCTGCATCATGACTGCTACATGTACACCCGAAATTAATTCAATTAATGCAATAAGACTCACTTAAAAAAAAAAAGAAAGAACCACAGGACTATATTATTTCAGAAAGAGCAACATATAGCCAGACACTCTAAAAAGCTGTAAGACTCCCTAGATATCCCAACATTATGGTTTACCAAAAGACAAGAAATGGAAAATGGAATTTTTGCATGCAGATGAAAGGAGGGAATGCAAGGAGATGCCTTCAGGCTTGTTCTGACAGCACTAAACTACATTTTGACATGGATTTCTCCTGAAACAAGATATTTGGGTAATTCCTTTTCAAGTAGAAGAAAAATACTACCTTATCAAAAGATGTTTTTTGTTCTGGTATTTGGAAATCATGCTTTTGTTCTGATGGTTGTGTTGTCGTGGTCTGCAGCTGAGCTGTGATAGCTTGAACCTGAGCCATTACATTATTATCTATTACTGGAGACTGAGGTTTAGGAGGTTGCTGAAAAGTCTGGAGAATCTGTTGGAGCTATCAGATTAAAATTGCAACTGTTAATATAATTTAAGGATAGGGACAGTAGAGACATTGTTTAGGCACTAAAATTTGGAGCACTCCCAAGGTGAATAGAACTAATGCAGTATTCTCTCCTGCCTGAGAATTACAATCTCCTAAAAGAGGCAATAGAAGAACGGGACGACAGAGAATGAGATGGCTGGATGGAGTCACTGAAGCAGTAGGTGTGAACTTAAATGGACTCCAGAAGATGGTAGAGGACAGGAAGACCTGGAGGAACGTTGTCCATGGGGTTGTGATGGGTCGGACACGACTTCGCAGTTAACAACAATAACAGTTCTCCTTTGCTTCTCATTACTGGGAACTGTCTCTTATGTAGAAACCAGAGAGGGCTATTTGGCTACCCAAAATTATGGAATGTAGTCCTCAGGAGATCCAACAGGTACTACCCTTGGTTTTATTTCATTTAACACTTGGCTTTTTATCTACACTTTTATTTGAAAATGAATTAAAGCTTTTTTCAATGTGAACTATATATATTGTCACATATTTTATTTCTTAAATTGTTTATTGGTTGAATTTCTCTCTGAGATCTATGAATAATCAGCAAGCCCAAAATAACTGAATAAAATGAACAATATTTCAACTACTTTTTACCACTAGACATGGATTTTACATACTATAAGTAAAAGATAGCTGCTCTTGTGACTATGCATCTACCTTGCAGATTACAACATGGTGTAAAAGTTAGAATAGGCAGCTACAATGTAAACACTGCAACATACCATAATTGCTTTTAGAGGAATGCAATGGCAGTGGGAATGGACTGCTGTTGGGAAAATGAAAAATACAGTTTCCTACATGTGTTAGGACATTTGATATTCTCCTCAGAGAGCAAGCATCGGTAAACTGCATGACTAAACATTTTTTACTCATATGCTCATACAGCAGAAAACCAAATTTTACTTTTTATCAATGTAATTCACAAGTTTCTATGGTAATTTTCAACATATATTACTGAAGACATAGTTTGCCTTAGATAATATTTTCTTAACAAAGTACTTTTTTAAAAAAAAAAATCCCTTGCTTACCTGCTGTCCTTGTGTTGTTTGAAATAACTGAGCAACAGCAGCAAATGCATCAGAACTGGGCACCTGTGCCACAGCAGGTACTGAATTAGCACCAACCTGTGGTGGCTCAGATGGAATTGTAGCAGGTTGTGGTGAACCTATAGAATATATTTCAATATTTAAATTTTAAATACAATTTAAGATTTTGAAATGCGTGTGTGTGTGTGTGTGTGTGTGTGTGTGTGTGTGTGTGTGTGTATGTAGGTCTTTGATTGTTCGGGTTTTCTCCCGCGTAAAATTGGAAGTGTCTTGGCGACGTTTCAACGAAGTCCCATTCGTCATCTTCAGGCTGATGTTTTCAGCTTCGTGCTTCGAGGAGCTATGTGTGGTCTTAGCTGTTTCTTCCTTTTAACTGCCAGTGGGGGTATGAACTGATTGGGTGGGAGCTTGGCTGTGTTCTGATTGGGTGGAGGTGTGTTCTGATTGGTTAGGGCTTGGCTGTGCTCTGATTGGCTGGGGGGTTGGCTGTGCTCTGATTGGCTGGAGGGTTGGCTGTGCTCTGATTGGCTGGGGGAGTGTTCTGTTTGGTTGTGCTCAGGTTAGTCTGAGTTGCAGGGGGGTTTAAGATTTTGGGCTGCCTTGCTATTTTTTGGCTTCGCGTTCGTGGTCGTGCCTCATCTTCATGGAAGGTGTCAGTTTGCTTCATGTATGGATTGGAGGGGTTTAAAGTGGCTAATGATGCAGCTGTGGTCTGGCTTCTGGTTTGTGGTCGTGCCTCGTCATCGGTGTGGCTTTGGGTTTGTTTTTTGCGTGGATGTGTGGTGGTGACATCCTGTGTGGTTTTTGTGAGTGTGGGTCTGGTATCATTTTTTGTGTTAGGGAGTCGTTTGTCAATAAGGGCGGGTTTCCAAATGGCTGGTAGGCGGGAGGTATCATCTCGCTTGTTCATGCTGTGTGGGCGTTTTTCTATCTCGATGGCTTCTCTGATTATTGCTATTGCTCTGATTATTGCTATTTTTTGGCGAAGCCAAAAAATAGCAAGGCAGCCCAAAATCTTAACCCCCCTGCAACTCAGACTAACCTGAGCACAACCAAACAGAACACTCCCCCAGCCAATCAGAGCACAGCCAACCCTCCAGCCAATCAGAGCACAGCCAACCCCCCAGCCAATCAGAGCACAGCCAGCCCCTAACCAATCAGAACACACCTCCACCCAATCAGAACACAGCCAAGCTCCCACCCAATCAGTTCATACCCCCACTGGCAGTTAAAAGGAAGAAACAGCTAAGACCACACATTGCTCCTCGAAGCACGAAGCTGAAAACATCAGCCTGAAGATGACGAATGGGACTTCGTCGAAACGTCGCCAAGACACTTGTGTGTGTGTGTGTGTGTGTGTGTATGTACACACACACACACACACACACCACTTTATATTTCAATGTTATTCTAAAGTAATCAAATTCTAGATCTTCTATGGTATAATCCAAAAGTAGTTTTGACCTCCTGCAGCAAGATTCTTTAAATTGGATTGAATATGTCCTCTATATATGTCTCACAACCATGAAGAGGTTCTGCATTTTCCCAATACAATCTGTATTCTATTTAAAGATCATACAATGTATAAGGCTCACATCATAACACAAGAGTAATCATGGCAGATGGCAGTGACAAGATTGGTTTTTTTAAAAAAAATGTAGCAAAAGCTAGGTTAGATGGAACAATTATTATGATTGGTACTACTGGATTATATATCTTTCCTTCTATTTAGTAGCTGTTTGTTATTTTAAAAAAACACAAAATTGCTGTTTGAATCATTTATTGTGACATTCAACTTCACCCACATTTTCATAAAATTCTCCTAGGCATAATATTTAAACCAAAATAATTTTCATCAAGAAAATATCTTTCATATCCATCAGGGCAATTTATTTCTACTATTTATTTTCAGGCAAATTTATTTAGAACGCAGGAGTTAATAATATTGAAGAAAAATCAAAGAAAAGGAATATAAAAAAACCTATCTGGACAGGTCTTGAAAAACACCAAGCATACGAATACTCTTCAGAGAACTCTTGATCTTTCATATATTCACTCACATCATCAGAATAAAATATGCATTCCTTTATAAGGAGTACTTAATCAACAACTTTATTTCAGTTCATCATACACAGATTATAACAAAATAAGACTTCAAATAATGCTATAATATTTAAACTCAGGAAACTGCCTTTTATTGAGTCAGACCACTGGTTTTCCTAAGTTATATATTAAGAGTTCTCCAGGATTCCAGGCAGTTTTTACTTGAATATATTTAAGGACTGAAGCTGAGATCGTTTGGATATAATCAAGGTGATCCTAATTCCTACCTTCATTATTGGTGGCATCTTCTGTCACTGAGGTTGCACTGCTAGCTCCTGCTGCCATGTCCAGAAGTGGCTGAATTATTTCTATTTTGAACACACCATTTTTCTGCCATAAGTTGAGGACACGAACTATCTTACTCTGTTCAACAAGAAATTATGTCAGTACACTTTTAAAAAACAGTTTAATATTTTTTAAACACTATACAGAAAGTATTTTCCTGCATACTTAACTTTCATGTACCATGAAACTAGGAACACGTTTTGAGCTTATGTATTTACTTATTATTTAGAAATTTTATATTGCCACCTACTCGCACATGGTGACTCAAGGCAGCTTACACAGATATAAAAACACCATATAAAATAAATAAAATAATAAAAATAATAAAATAATAACCCCCCCACCCACACCCACCCAAGCGACTTCCTTTCCATTATTCAATAAATGTAGGATATTCCAATCTGAGTATTTTTTATTCTGAGAAAGAACTAATTGATTGAACCGGAATACAATATCAGTCTCCCATTAGAAAAGAAAAGGGAAAGTATCATTTAGTCTTTACATATGAAAAAAAGATTAGGAGAGGACGAACTATCTAAAAGCATGAGTTATAGTAATTAGGTACAGAGACATGAAATCCAACCCAAACTCCAACATGTCCCAGAGCCTTATTTGGAATGTGGTATTCTAACCTTGGGAATATCTATTTTGCAGAACATTTAGAAATCAGATTTTTTTTTAACTATGTACAAGCTCCATGACAGATGAAGGAATCCATACACACACACACCCAAATGATCACTCGGGCATGTTATCACTAGAACTTTGCCTCTTTTTTTTTATTAAAAGTTTTTTATTTTTTCGATGTAAGCATTATAAATACAATACAATTTTGAAATAAGATAAATTCGTAACCATTGGTACTACCTCCCCACTCCCCCCAGGCTGCGTCCACCCTCTCTTAAAACATTCCCTACTTCCCTCCTCTTTCTCACCTCCCATCCTACTCTCTTCCCCTCCCCCTCTCCTCTCACTACCCTACTTCCTCTCTACACTTTCTCATCTCTCATCCCTATCAAACCCATGAACGCAGCATAAGGGGAGTGCCCAGGCCGCACCCCTATAAGCAACCATTATCTATTTTACACTTGCCCCCCCACATTTCCTCCCTCCCTCCCTCCCACCCCCAACCCCCCTCCCTTCACTTCCCAGAGCAGAATACAGGGTTAATAATAAGAAAATTTATAATAATAAGAAAAAAGAAAAGAAGAAAAGAAAGAAAAAAAAGAAAAAAGAAAATATCATACTTAACCTTTAACTCCAATAACCTATAAGACAATTCTCTATAATATTTACTATAATATTCATTCATAAAATAAATAAAACTTTTTAGTTCCATACTTTTTCTGAATATAATCTATCCATCTTCTCCATACAATAATATATCTTTCTTGTGTATGATCCTTTAAATAAGCAGAAATTTTTACCATTTCTGCAAAACTAGATACTTTAAATACCCATTCTTCTAAAGTAGGCAAAGAATCTTTCTTCCAGTATAAACCTATTAATAACCTTGCAGCAGTTAATAAATTCAACATCAAAATAGTTTCTTTATCATTTAAATCCACAAAAATACCCAACAAAAATAGTTGAGGAGTGAACTTTATCTTCCTTCTAAAAATCTTTTGAATGTTCCACCAAATCATAATCCAAAATGCCTTTACCTTTTTACAATTCCACCAAATATGAAAATATGTCGCATCTTTATTGCCACATCTCCAACATTTGGGCTGTATATTAGGATACATACAAGATAATTTTTTAGGATCTAAATGCCATCTATAAAACATTTTGTAAAAATTTTCTCTCAAATTTTGAGCTTGTGTAAATTTAACATTTCTAGTCCAAATTGTCTCCCATAAATCCAATGAAATCGGTTCCTGTATATTTTGAGCCCATTTAATCATACAGTCTTTAACCAATTCTGTTTCCGAGTCTAACTCTAGTAAAACATTATAAATTCTTTTTATATGGGCCTGACTCTGATTTTTAATCTGAATAACCAATTGCTTGTCTTCTAATGTTATTCCCTCTTTCTTATCTACAGTCCATCTATCCACTATTTGTAAATATTGAAACCATGACTGTAGAATATTTTCCTGCCTTAATACATCTAGGGATTTCAAGTGCCAATTTGAACCAGACCAAATTAACAGTTCTTTATACGAAATTTTATCAAAATTTGTCCCCTTAGAAGTTCCCTCAATTGCATGTCTGGGAATCCCCCAGATAGGTATTTTATAATTTAATCTGTAATAATACTTTTTCCAAACACGAAGTAGGGCATTCCTCAAAATATGTGATTTAAAAGTCAGATCAACTTTCTTATTAAAAATCAGATATGCATGTCAAGTTAAGGCGGCTGCATCATAATATAATTTCAAATTAGGTTCCTTAAGTCCTCCTCTTTCTCGAGCATCCTGTAAAATCTTAAACTTAACCCTTGGTTTCTTTCCGGCCCATATAAAATTGTTAATGCCCTTTTGCCATTCATCCAAATTTGCCTCTTTTTTTAAAATAGGTATCATCTGAAACAAAAAAAGGAACTTTGGTAGAACATTCATTTTTACCGCTGAGATTCTCCCCAACAATGACAATTGCAATTTTTTCCAGTCTTTTAAGTCCTTTTGTACTTTTACCCATAATGGTTCATAATTATTCTTATACAATTTTCCATTTGAAGCAGTTAAATATATTCCCAAATATGCTAGAACTTTGCCTCTTGATCAAGGGTTCCAGATTTTTTTTAAAAAAACTTACAAATTATACAGGCTGAGAACTACTGAAAAATCCTGTTTTTTTTTTTTTTTTTATTGAAATTTTTCAAAAGTTTTACAAATAAAAATCCACCCCCCCCTCCCCAACCACCCCACCCCCCCCCGACTTCCCAGAACTGAATATAGGATTATTTAACAAATATTTTAAAAATAACATTTGCAATTTATAAAATAATTAATAATAATAATAAAAATCACAGTAATAATATATATAGAAATAATATACATAACATAAACTTTAAAATGAATAATATATACTAAAAAAGAAAAAAAATAAAAAATAAAAAGAGAAGAGAGAGAGAGAAAGAAGAAAGAAGAAAGTAGACGAAAAATAAAGCATATATATATATAAAAAAAAAAAATATATGAATAATAATACATTAAAAATGTATATATATAAAAAAGAAAAAGAAGAAAGAAAGAAAGAAAAAACAATCATTACAAATTATAAAAAGGCTAAATAATATTTTTCCATATCCAAATTATGTTGTATAAAATTTATCCATTTTTCCCATACCGCAAAAAATTTTTCTTGAGATTGCTCCTTTAAGAAAGCCGAAATCTTTGCCATTTCTGCCAAATACGAAACTTTATGAAACCATTCTTGTAAAGTAGGCAAAGATTCCTTCTTCCAATATTGTCCTATTAACAACCTAGCGGCTGTAATCAAATTTAACATCAATATAACCTCCTTAGCATCACAGTCAATAACAATACCTAGTAAAAATAATTGCGGAGTAAATTTTACCCTTCTTTTAAAAATTCTTTGAATATTCCACCATATCTTAATCCAAAAAGCTTTTATATGCTTACACGTCCACCAAATATGGTAATAGGTAGCATCCAAATATCCACATCTCCAGCATTTCGGCTGTAGATTAGGGTACATAATGGACATTTTCTTTGGGTCAAGGTGCCATCTATAAAACATCTTATAAAAATTCTCTCTTAAATTTTGCGCTTGTGTGAATTTAACATTTCTTATCCAAATAAGTTCCCAAGTATCCATTGAAATCGTTTCACCAATATTCTGTGCCCATTTAATCATACAATCTTTAACTAGTTCAAGTTCTGAATCTAATTCCACTAAAACCCCATAAACTCTCTTAATATGGGTTGGCCTTTGATCTCTTACTTGTTTTAAAAAAATTCCATCTTCTCTAAGCCAGCCCATTTTACAATCCATCTTCCATCTATCCACTATTTGTCTATATTGGAACCATGAATAAGTTAAGTTTTCATGTGTTAATTCTTCCAAAGATTTTAACTGCCAGTCTTGGCCATCCCATCTTAATAACTGTACGTAAGAGACCTTGTCCATATTTACCCCTTTCCTTATACCTTCTATGGCATGCCGAGGTATAGCCCATAATGGTATTTTGAAGTCACTTTTATAATACTTTCTCCACACTCTTAGCAAAGAGTTTCTTATAATATGAGACTTAAAAACCCAATCCACTTTTTTATTAAATATTAAATAGGCATGCCATCCAAAAAATAGGTCCCAGCCTTCCAAATGAAGTATTTCTGTATTTGTTAAATTCACCCAATCGCTAATCAATGTCAATACTACAGCATCATAATACAATTTCATATTTGGTACCTTGAGTCCACCTCTCTCACGAAAATCTTGCATTATTTTAAGTTTCACCCTTGGTTTTTTCCCTGCCCAAACAAATTTATTAATACCTTTTTGCCATTCATCTAAATTACGTTCGTTCTTTAAGATAGGTAACATTTGGAACAAAAAAATAAACTTTGGCAGGACATTCATTTTAATAACTGCAATTCTGCCCATAAGGGATAACTGTAAATTATTCCAGTTTTTTAAATCCTTCTGTACCTCCATCCACAGCTTTTCATAATTATTTTTATACAATTTTACATTAGAAGCAGATAATGTAACCCCCAAATATTTTACCTTATCAACAATTTCAAAGTCTGTTAAGTTAACTAGAGCCTGTTTATCACCATTAGTCATGTTTTTAGCTAATATTTTGGTCTTATTATTATTAATTTTAAAGCCAGAAACACGTCCATATTGTTGAATCAATTGTAATAATTTCACCACCGAAGAAACAGGTTGAGACAAAGTAACAACCAAGTCATCTGCAAAGGCTCTTAATTTATATTCTTTTTTATTAATTTCTATTCCTTTTATTTCTTGAGACTCCCGAATTTTAATCAACAAAATTTCCAGTGTTAAAACAAACAATAACGGAGACAACGGGCATCCCTGTCTTGTTCCTTTTTCTATTACAAAAGCCTCTGACAAACCCCCATTTACAATAATTTGAGCAGTCTGTTTTTGATATATATTGGATAATACTTGTAATATATTTTGTCCAAAATTCATCTCCTTGATTAAACACAGCATAAACTGCCAATTCACTTGATCAAAGGCTTTTTCAGCATCCAAAAATATCAAGCCTGCAGAGACTTGGTTATTCTTTTCTAAATACTCTAATAAATTAATAATTTGTCTAACGTTATTCTTCATATACCTTCCAGTTATAAAACCCGATTGATCCCTATGTATAAACTGCTGCAAGATCCCCATAAGCCTGTTAGCTAAAATTTTTGCAAAAATTTTATAATCCACATTTAAAAGAGATATAGGCCTATAATTTTTAGGCAAAGTAAGATCTTGACTATCTTTTGGAATCAATGATATAAATGCATTACGCCAGGATGGAGGGATCTCTAACCCCTGTAATAAATTATTAAACAGTTCACACAACGGTTGGATCATCTCTTCTACTAAAGCTTTATAATAAATAGATGTCAACCCATCCGTACCCGGCGCTTTGCCCAATTTCAATTGTTTAATAGCTGTAACAATTTCTTCCTTAGTAATTAAACCGTTAATCTTTTTTTCCTGATCTTCTGTTAATTTAGGAAAGTTGACTTTGCCTAAATAATTATTTATATCTGTAATTTGAATATTGGTACCCTTATATAATTTTTGATAGTATTCTAAAAAAGATTTCTTAATCAATTCTTTCTGATAAACCAATTTACCATTATAATTTATTTTATCTATATTCCTCTGTTTCTGTTTTTTTCTTAACTGATAAGCCAACCATCTCCCTGGTTTATTAGCATTACAAAATGTATTTTGTTTCATAAATAGCAAATTAGTTGCAGCTTGATCAGCCATCAGCATGTTAAATTAACAGCATGAAAAATCCTGTTCTAAATCATTGATCATATCAAGCTTTATGGTAGTATTATTTCAAATAGGATAACTTCCAAATTCCAGGATTATCTAACATTAGAAAGTAGGCTTATGCAGCAATACGGATCTAAAGAGTAAAGTTGATACAGAATATAAACAGGTGCTCATACAGCAATTGTTAACAATTGCTCAAAGCTTATCTTATAGTAACCAATAATTGTGGTATGTGCGTCCCTACAATTCCCAAGTCACTTTGCAATCCCATTGAAAAGTTCTTCCAGTCTTAAAGTAATGAGGAAAAAGTGCCTCACAAAACTGAAAGCAAAGTAAGAGCAACATCCAACTTAAAGCCCTTATTCAGAGTCCTATTTAACAATCACTGGGTCTCTATCCTAGAAAAATGCTCATGTACAGGTTATAAATTAATTTCAAGCGAAATTAAACACCTTCACTTGTAACAAAGCTAAAACCAACAACTATACCTTATCTTCTGATGGACAGAGATATAAATACTGGAATGTGGCAGTTATATTCTTACAGAATCTTGGCCCAAAAACATCCTTGTCTGTTCCAAATTGATGTCGAGATTGGCGAACAATGGAGTCAATAACATACAGTCCAGGAACTTTATATTCAGGCTTACACTAAAAAAAGAAAACGTATCACCATTTCTAAATGCACAATTGAAGTTTAACATACTAACATTAATTACTAAATGCTTATAAGCCTGTTGGATAACAATTTCAGGTTTGGCCAACAAATATTCCTTTCTTTTGCTTGAGCTATTCTAGCACAGGGGTGTCAAACTCAATTTCATTGAGGGCCACATCAGCACTGCGGTTGCCCTCAGGGGGCCGGGTGGGTGTAGCCTACTGGGTGGGTGTAGATGGAGTGGGTGAGGTCTACTGGGTGGGTGTGGCCACCTCTACTTCGTTCGCGTCAAGGGTGCCTGTGGGAGCCTGGGCAGGAGTGGGATAGATCTGAGGGTCTCTGGCAGGAGGAGGTGGGACCAGGGCAAGTGCCAAGACATGGTCCACTGGAGGGGCCTCACTGTTCCTCTCAGGCCATGCAGGGGGGGGGGGCTTATGGAGCTAAAACTGAATGCGTTTCAGCATAGATGGCCACCACAAAATTGTACATTGGTTCCCAGCTGGCCTGAGCCAGGGCCAAGGCAGAGGGGGCCATTCCCTGTTTCCAGGATGGCTTCGCAGGCCACACGAAACCACTTTGCAGGCCGCATCTGGCCCCCGGGCCTTGTGTTTGACATGTCTGTTCTAGCATATTTAAGGGTTTCAGAATGATGCCCAAGATCATGTTTCTTATCTTTCCAGTACTTTCTCCTTTCTAGTGCCTGGCTCACATTCTCAGAACTAAAGTTTCCTCTTTTGTTTTTCACTACCTGCTGTCTCTTTTCTCCATGAATAATGTGGTGCTTTGATACACCTACTTTCTGGGGAACCAATATCACTGGTTCTTTGCAATGGGCTATTATTCTGTATCTGAGTTTCTATCTTGGAGACTATAGGATCATCAATGATGGAATTTTATACAAAACATAAAAGTCACATATGACCAGTTATCCATCTCTTAAAGTTTTCAGCTTAATTTCAAATATTTTCCCACTCTACCTCTTATTCAAATACTTTGCCCTCTTCTCTATTATTTTCCTTGATATGGATAGAGTCTATTTATTTTATATTAAATTTCTATGCCACCTATCTCCCCTACAAGGTGACTCTGGGCAGCTTACAAATGATAGAAACAAGTGAAAAATAGTTAAAAGGTTAAAAGGAACTGACATTAAAATATTATTAAAAACCGCTAAAACCACACCTAAAGATGGAGGTGAGCAGAATGTTCCCACTGATGGAATCAGGATACATGCATTTACTTTAGCAGTTTTTCCATCCACCCAAACAGAACGCTGTCAGGATGAAGATCAAACTATTCTATTTCAGACCTGATCAGAGTTGTTAAGGGAACAGGTTTAATCTCACTCTACACTGCCAGCCTTCAGGACACCTAGGAAGCAAAATAATTCCAAAATCTGTTCAATATTCTTTCTCAGATGTTAAATGTGACAAAATGTTTATAGGAAGAAAACTGCCGACTCTTTACAATTTATTTTGAGTTATGTAATTACACTTACCTTTTTAATAAACTTCTCTACAATTTGGACTACATGTTTGTAAAGCTGAAAGGAAGAATTAAATGTGTTTATTTGGTGTGAAATCTTTCATTCCATAAAACATAGAAAAATACCATTTTATTTCTACAGGTATAAATTGCAGAGCACAACAATTAATTAAAAGCAAGATGGAACCTTTTAGTAAATGTAACAGAACTTTTTAAACATCAGTTCAATTCTTTTGAACAATTCTTTTAAATTAAATTTTTAAAAGAGCTCTACACATACCATGAAGAGTACATATTAGGAAGATGAATCCAAATATTCTTCAAGGTTCGCAAAATAATGAAAATGGACACAAACTCTTGCTTTGTTTGTAAAAAAACATAATAAAACTCTACAAATCTTGTATTTTGCTATGATAGGTCAACTTTGCCTATGACAGATGAAATATTATTTATTAAGTTACCTTAATAGCTTTAATGGCAGCTTTAGTAATGAGAATCATCTTTGCACGAGAAATTGGAGGCTTCATCTCCATCAATGAGAAGAGCTAAAAAAGAAGAAATGTAGAAAAATTAAAAATGCAATATTTCTAGATAAATGTATTATTTACTACACTATGTAATCATTATAAAATTATAAAATTATAAAATTATACTTATGAAACTATTTATTCTGATTTGGAACCTTAATATCTTAAAAATGATAAGACTGTTTTCTACTTTTTATGAAAATGAAACTTTATTACTTTATAATACTTTATATTACTACTCCATTATAAATAATTATTTAACTCATTAGTATAAAAGCATGTTCTATTTTAGAAATCTATGAAAATCAATTATATGGTCAAGAAAGTAAAGCAAAACTGCAAAGGAGTGATTTTCAAGTTCCTCCTCAATATTAGCAGATAAAATGAGGGAAAAGAAGGACACCTAGAAACTGCCTATACTCCCTTGCACCTACTAAAAATAAAAAATTTAAGAACCGGACAAAATATAAAGTATGTAGAATCTCATTTAACATTTTAAATGGACAAGACCAGTTATGGCGAACCTTTTAGAGACCGAGTGCCCAAACTGCAACCCAAAACCCACATATGCATCATGGGGTGCCGGGTGGGTATGGCCCATTGGATGGGTGTGGCTGCAGGGGTAATGGCAGACTGGGTGGGACTAAAAAATTCAATCAATCAATTCCAACTTTGAGAGATCTTTTTTTTTTTCCCGAGAAGTTGAAATTCACTGATTGATTGAACCTTTTTTTTTTTTTTGCACATGACGGCAGAGGCCTAAAGTGAAAAGATTTTATAAAACCCAGCTGAAGGCCTAGGACTGGGGCGACGGTGTGCATGCCCACAGAGAGGGCTCTAAGTGCCACCTCTGGCACCCATGCCATAGGTTTGCCACCACTGGACAAGACATTTAGAATCTCTAGTTTCTCTTAAAAGTAACTACATACTCTAACTACTACTATATAACAGTTACAGAATTGGCTAAGATGACCTTGTACCATCTTCAAAGATATACTGGTGCCATATACTGTTTCTTATTAAAAATTTAGCTGGTGTTGACACTGATATGCATCAAGGGTCTTCCCAAGAAGCTAAGATGTCATACTGTATCGGATTAGTATATGTGTGAACCAAGTAGATGGAAATTTTGTCAATGTACAAATTGTCTATGTGCCATCCAAGATTTTTTTGGTATGACACCCAGTAAGTGGATAACCACTGGTACCACAATGGCTGGTTTATGCCATAATCTTTCAACTTCAGTTTTCAGATCTTGGTATTTGGTGATCTTTTCCAATGCTCTGTCTTATATTCTACTATTCCCTGGTATTGCCACATCAATTATTCATAATTATCCAATTATTTTTCTTTTCAATAAGAGTTAAATCTAATGTGTTATTAGCCAAAACCTTTTGTATTCAGAAATATTTTAACCTGGTCATTTTCAACTACTTTTTCAACTATATTTTTCCACCATTTTTTCATTACTGGCACACAGCAATTTTTATAAATACTCCAGTGCATCATTTTAGCAACTGTGTTATATTTATAATCAGTTTCTGTGATATTCTTGCACTACCGTGTTTCCCCCAAAATAAGACCCGGTCTTATCTTTTTTTGCCTCCCAAAAAAGGTCTTATTTTCGGCCAATGTCTTACCCGCTTACCTTAGGACCGCCTCAGCCAGGCCTCCCATACCCTGACACTGTCGCGCCACTGCCTGAGTTCGTCGTGCCAATTGCTCTGCTGCTGCCACTCACTGGAGGTCACGAGGCTCATCACGCTGATCACACCACTGCCACTGGTAGCAACAAGAGGCTGCATAGCGCATCGTGCCGATCACTACTGGTTGTGGCAGGCCGCAACACTCGTCACACCAATCGCAAGTGGCACAATGAGCCTCGCAGCCTGCCACAAGCGGCAGCACCTCTGTGATTGGCGCGATGAGCCTCATGGCCTCCTGCTGCAACCAACAGCAACAGCGCAATGCACCATGTGGAGTGCAGCCACAGATGAACTCGGGCAGAGGCGCAACAGGTGTCAGCATGTGGGAGGCCTGGCTGCAGCAATCCTAAGGTAAGCGGGTGAAGGGTGCATGGAGCAACTACACCCCCCAACATTGACCTAATTTAATTTTTACATGTGTGCCTTGCCCCAAAACTAGGGCTTATTTTTGGGATAGGTTTTATATTGGGCGTATGTGTAAAAAAATCAAGCTAGGTCTTATTTTCGGGAAAGCACGGTAGCTTAAAATATGATATTTCTTTTGCTTCGTTGCACAATCTACACCCCAAATTATTTGGTCATTTTTCAATTCCAGCCTTGATTGCATTATTTCAAATAACTTGAACAATCAAAATCAAGTCTTCAATTTTTTTTTTAAAATTTTCCAATTGTAAGCCATTGCCAGGTTTCATCTTTATCCGCTTTCCCATCAACCTTTTGCAGAAGACCATGTAATGTCTATTGAGATTCTCAATCATCCAGGTCATGGTTGTTCCAAAGATGCTTTCCAAAAGGCAACTGGATCTTGTTTTTTTTTTTTTTTTCCTTGACAACATTTCACTTCTCATCCAAGAAGATTCTTCAGTTCAGTTCGGAAGTGAAACATTTTCAAGGGAAAAAAAAACAAGAAAGTCCAGGTGTTGTTTTTTTTTTTTTTTTTTTTGAAATCACCTTGGGAATGGTGTCAATATTCTTTTTATTACATTGTTTTGATATTCAAGTTTTGTTTCTTGTACATGCAGTAAGTTCCAATTTTTGACTTGCATCAGTGCTTGTCCTTGGCTGTCTTTTATATAATCAGCCAGTATATGCTTTTCTTTGTTGATAGCTTATTTGACTTAAAGTAAACCTATGCCTCTATTTCTGCGGGGCAGGTATAATCTATCAACATAACTATGGGGATGTAATGCATAGTGAATAATCAATTTCCTTTTTTCACTCCAAACTACCCAGTTCAGCTTGTGTCCAGTTAATAATTCCACCAGTGTGTCCTATTAGATGTATGGCCCAAGTACTGATGGTTCTGAGGGTGTTTCCCATTTAATTTTGTCTTTAGCAATTTTCTCACTCTTTGCATGTATTCTTTACTAATCACATTTTTAACTTGTCCATAATTGATGTTATCCAACTGTAAGATGCCCAGATATTTATAGGCATATGATGCTTGGACCATTTAGCATTTCAGTTCTATTACTATTCCAGATTTAACCCCAATTCATTGTTACTATAGCACATTTCTCTAGGCCAAAATCCATTGCTATATCTGTGCTAAAGATTCTTACACTTTGTCAATGACTGGATTTCAATTTTTTATTTTCAGTAGAGCTTCAGATGATCTATATAAAGCAAATGTGAGATCTCATTAGCATTTTTTTTGCTGTTTTGATACAAAATACATCTTCAAATTCTTTTATCCAGCATTTTTATTAAAATCTTTTTTAGATTCCCATAGATCTTTTCAAAATTCAATCTTTTCAGAATTTTTGTTGCCATTTATACTTTGATAGTATCATCTCTAGTCTGATTGAAATAGCTGATTTTACTAAAATTGGATGATTAGTGCCTTGTAGCATTCAATTTTCCTAGTTATTGCTGTTATTTGTTGCTTTCTGATTTCTAAATTTCTTCATTTTCTCATGGGCTTTAATTAGGCTTGTCTTCTTATATTCTTCAATTTTTGCTCTTTCATGATCTTTATTTATCTTGGCATCCAATCTGATCTCCCACTTTGGGATTGAATATGATCTAGCTTTTAGTTTTTTAATTTTTATACCCAGTTCTTCTGTAACCACCATTGTACAGCAAGCAATCCAGTCTGTTCAACAGATATTTTAATCCTTCAAGGGCATTATTTACATCATTCATTATAGGTGCCAGGTCTTTTTGGAGCACCACTTTCAATGCTGGCAGTCTTTATCTTTCTACTGGTAATTCTGCTTTCACCATAATTTTCTCTCTTAATTCTTCTGAGGAGGTTAGTCCATAGATTGCTTTAGTGCCAATTTATAGTTCTCTGTTGTTGTTATTACTTCTCTGTTGTTACTTAAGTGATCATTTCCATAATTCACATCATTATATTTCCAACTGTTGTTATTCGAGTTCCTTTTCCTGTTCTATTGTTTTTATAGTATCTTCCATTTTCACAATTTTTCTGAATCTCTTCCAGTTCGGTATAACTGAATATTTTATTTCTGTTAATGAATATCCTTCTATCTGCTACTCATTGTTCTGAGTGTTTGAGTCTGAATAAATTCTTTTCCACAGTCCAAACACGCACTTTAAGTATCCCTGCTTTGTTGACCCTGTTTATACCTTGTAATAGCAGGTCATTATGGTGCAATTTTCAAACACAGTATACGTTTATCTTGATTGAGGTTATTCTTCTTCCAGCAATGCTACAGAGTTAAGTCCTGGTTGCCAAGCCACAGCTCCTGAGTCCTGTTGCCCACTTGTTGCCAGATGACCAGGAATTCTAAAATTCTAAAAAAGGACATAGTCCTTGTTGACCTGGGCAATAACCAGTATAATGTTTTTCTGGTTTTTTTACCATATTAAATGGGTTGGTAGATACACTTAGTCTGGCTCCTTCCTGAAACCTTTCTGGCATGTGTGACCCTTCAGGTAGAATACACTACCACCAGCATAGCTCTCAAACTCATCAGGTTAATATTCATTATTATTTATTATGATTATTCAAAATGATGGTTGGTTGCATAATCAGCCATATGTTTAGAGTGGATTTGCCATTTTTATCCATCTACCAGGCCTTGCCAAGCACTTGGGATAGACAGATGCTGTTTGTTGGTGTTAACAGTATCAATGTAGGATATCAGCTGTTTCAAGTAATTGCCTTTTGCAATTAACTGATGGTGATTTTGTCAATGCTTATGAGGTTCAAGTGGTGCACCAGATGTTTTGGGATTGCACCCAAGGCACCTATTACTATTGGTATTAAATTTGTTTCTTTTGCCAAATTCATTCTATTTCTATTTGCAGGTCTTCATATTTTATGATTTTACTATTTTCTCCAAT